CCTACACAAGGAGAGGTTCAGCAACATCACTGTCCTTCACCTCCACATCTTGTCGCATTGGAGGATCTTCAGGGGCAGACACACATGGAGCTGTCATCTCCTATCTCCTCTGATAACAATACCTTCTTCTGGAAAACTGCATGAGGCAGTTTTACAGTTACCTTTTTCATTTGTAAGTAGGAGTACACTCTAAAATAACAATACATTGCATAGTATCAAAAACACATAAATCAGTAAGTCATTTATTATCAGTATCAAATATTACATATAGAAATTCATTATATGTGCTATACTTTTAAACAACTGGCAGTGGAGTAGGTTTGTTTACATCAGCATTGCCACAAACACCTGAGTAATGCATTGACTTATGACATTACTAAGTGATAGGAATTTTTCTGCTCCATCATAATATTATGGGACCACCGTCACATATGTGGTTCATTGTTGACCAAAACGTCATCATGCAGTGTGTGACTATAATTTGAGTCTTATTTTTTCCCTGTGTTAATTTTTTTAATACCATTAGTTGTGCCAATATATCAATCAATTTAAAGAACTAGATTTTGAGTTCATTAATTTACTCTGTTGTTTTTCTATTCTCCGTCTCATTAATTTCTGCTCTAATCTGTATTATTTTCTTCCTTCTGCTTGCTTTATGTATAGTTTGCTCTTCTTTTTCCAGTGTCTTAGAGTGGATTATTAGGTTATAGATTGAGATATTTCTTCTTCCTCAATAGATATTTAGGAAGGATATTTCTTGTTCCTTAATAGACAATTTCTCTGTAAACTTCAGTTATGTTAGCTGTATCCCATAGGTTTTCATATGTTGTGTCTTCATTTTCATTCGTCGTATTTTCTGATTTCTCTTTTTATTTCTTCTTAGACAAGTTGGTTGTTTAGGAGTGTGCTATTTAATTTTTATACAGCTGTGAGGTTCCCCAGTTTCTTCCTGCTATTGATTTCTAATTTTATTCCATTGTGGTAGGAGAGCGTACTTTGTATTATTTCTATCCTTTTAAGTGTGTTAAGGTTTATCTTATGGCCGAGCATATGGTCTATTTTGGAGAATGTTCTATGTGCACTTTAAAAGAATGTATATCTTGTTTTGATTGAGTAGAGTGTTTTATAGACATCTGTCTGGTCTAGTCGTTAGTTGTGTTGTTCAAGTCTGCTACTTTCTTGTTGATGTTCTTTCTAGATTTTTTGGTATGAATTCCTATAGGTTAAGGAAACTATGCTTTTAAGTGTGGTTTTCATTGCAAATATTTTCTCCTAGTTTGTTTTCATGTTAGTCATGATTTCTTCCATGCAGTTTTCTTCCTAATTTTTATATAATTAACTTTACGCAACTTTTTAGTTTCTTGTGAGACTGAGAAGGTCCTTTCTCTCTCCAAACTTGAAAGAAAAATTTCTCATGCAGTACTTGTGTGGTTTCATACTTTACAGTTGACACCTTGATAGAACTAGTCTCTATTTCCTTATAGGAAGAGCATAAGCAAGAAGCTTTATTATTTTTCAGCAGTAACCTTAGTTGCCCCAGCGCTACTACTGAATGATCACATTTTTATCATTGGTAGTGTCATCATCATAACACATCATCAAGGAAGTTGTTTTTCACAGTTTGGGTTTTTTGGCTGAGCTCGGTGGATCACTCCTGTAATCCCAGCACTTTGGGAGGCCGAGGCAGGCGGATCATGAGGTCAGGAGATTGAGACCATCCTGGCTAACACGG